GATATCAGAGGAATGCTGGCCCCATAGAAAGAGTTTGAGAGAATTTCTCCCTTTCAAATTTTTGGAATAATTTACACTGCAGGTTTAAGTATGTTATGTTTCCATTATCACTTGTCTCAAATTTTCAATTTTCCTTTTTAAAATAATTGATATTAGTTCTATAAAATGTTTGGTGGGATTCAGCAATGACGCCATAGGATCCCGAGTTTTGCTTTGATGGGAGACTTTCTTTTTATTACTGATTTAATCTTTTCACTCATGCTTGGTCTGTTCAGGTTTTTTATTTCTAATGATTCACTCTTAGTACACTGTAGATGTCCAGGAATTTATCTATTTCTCCTAGATTATCAAATTTCTTGGTGTGTGGTTGTTTAAAATAATTTCTAATGATTCTGTTTTGACTCTGATTTTTATTTGTTTTCTCTTTTTTTCTTAGTCTAGCTGAGGATATGTCAATTTTATCCTCATTTTTATGTTTATTAGTACATGTTTGCAGCACATAATGAGTACATTCATCCTGGAGAATTGGTACATGTACATAACATGTCTTAACTTTTTTTTTTTTTTTTTTTTGGTGCCAGGGACCTTGTGTGGCACCACTGAGCTAAATCCCCAGCCCTCATCTTAATTCTTTTTATGTCCCCTTCCCCTCCTCTCTGTCCCTTCTCTATCTCTTTCATTTAGCTTTTTGAAAAGAAACTCTTTGTTTCATTGATCTTTTAAATTTTTCTTTCATTAATTTTTACCTTGATCTTTATTATTTCTTTCCTTCTACTGACTTTGAGTTTGGTTTCTTCCTGTTTTTCTAGTTTCTTGAGGCTCATGATAAGATTGTTTACTTGAAATCTTTATTGTTTTTGATGTAGCTATTTATTACTGTAATCTCTCCTCTTTGTACTGCTTTGCTGTATCTCACAGATTTTGTTGTGTTCCCATTACCATTTGTCTCAAGAAAATTTTTAATTTACTTCTTAGTTTCTCCAAGCATCTATTGGTGTTCGGGAGCATGCTGCTTAATTTCCATGTACTGGTATAGTTTCCAAATTTTTACTTATTATTTTCTAGTTTTATTATATTGTGCTCAGAAAAGATACTTGATATGATTTCATTTTTAAGAAATATGTTGAGAGTTGTTTTATAGCCTACAATATGATCTATCCTGAAGAATATTACATAATCTGTTGAGACCATGTATTCTGCAGCTGTTTGGATGGGACATTCTGTAGATATGTTAAATCTATTTGGTCTAAGGTGCAGTTTAACTACTATTTCTGGATGATATGTACAGTACATTGTAGAAAGAGAGGTATTAAAGTTCCCAGTTATCATATTGGAATTGTGTCTCATTTATGCCTATTAATGTTTATCTATTTAGGTGCTTTGATATTTAATGACCATATATACATATAATTGTTATTTCCTTTTAACGAATTGATCACTTGATCATTGTAAAATGACTGGCCTTGTCTCTTTTTACTGATTTTGATTTAAAGTCTATTTTGTGATAAAAAATGTAGCTTTCTGAAAATCTTTTTTCATCTCATTACTTTGAGTATATGCATGTTCTTACAAATGAAATGAACTTTATAAATATTATATAATTGAGTATCTTTAATTTTTTTTAATTTATTTGAGATAGGGTTTCACTGTGTAGATCAGTCTGGCCTTGAACTCACAATGTGGCCTAAGCTGGGCTTGAACTTACAGTCATCCTCCTGCCTCAGCCTCCTGAGTGCTGGGATTACAGGCATGTACCATCACACCTAGTTTGAGCATTGTTTTTTAATCTATTTAGGACTTCTATGTTTTTAATTTAAAAATTTAATCCATTTACATATAATTATTGATAGGTAAGGTCTTATTACTGCCATTTTATTACTTATTTTATAAGGGTTTTGGGGTTTTTTTTTTGCAGTTCCTTCTTTTCCCTCATCTCCATCTTCCTTTCTGTTTAAGTGATTTTTCTGTAGTAGTGTGTTTTGATTCTTTGCTTATTATTTTTGGCTTTGTGGCTATCATGAGGTTAACAAAGAATCTCAATGCAAGTTGTTTTGAAATAATAGTAACTTAACTTTGCTCATAAAGACAAGAAAGAAAAAAAAGAATTTTAAAACTCTATACTTTCACTCCATTCCTTTCCATATTTTGAATTTTTGATGTCTCATATTTTCTTATATTGCCTATTTATTAACATTTTAATATGTTCTTATTATTTTTTGTCATCATACTAAATATATATGTGGTTTATGCATCATGTTTATATAGAGAATATTAAATTTTTCTATATGGTAAGTTATTTTACCAATGAGTTTTACACTTCCCAATGTCTTCTTACCCATTAGTGCCTTTTTCTTTCAACTTGAAGAACCTCTTTTAGCATTTCCTATTAAATAGATCTAGTGTTGATGAATTCAGCTTTTGTATGTATAAGAATGTCTTTGTCTCTCCCTCATTTCTGAAATACTGTTTTGCTGGGTACAGTACTGCTGGTTGGCAGGATTTTTCCCCTTGTGAATAACTTGTGAATAGATCATCCCACTTCCTCATGGAATGCAAGGCTCCTTTGAGAAGTCTGTTGTTAGGTCAATTAAAACATTCTATATGTTCTTTCTTTTCTCTAACTACTTTCAAAATTGTCTCTTTGTCTTTAATCTTTGGGAGTTTGATATGTCTTGGGGTAGATTTGATTCAGTTGAATCTGATGGATGATCTTTGACCTTCCTTTACATGAATAGTTGTATCCTTCTCTAGATTTGGAAAAATTTCTGTTATCTCTCTGAATAAATTTCCTACTCCTTTGGCATTCTCAGGACACTTTGAACCCCAATAACCTGAGTATTTGTTCTTTTATTACTTTCCCAAAGTTCCCATGAGCTTTCTTCATTCCTTTTCATTTTTTCTTTTGTGTGTTTTTATTTATTTTATTTTATTTTTTTTTGGTACCAGGGCTCGAACTCAGGTCCTTGTGCTTGCAGGGCAGGCAGTGGAACTACTGAGCTAAATCCCTGGCCCTTTTGTGTATTTTCAATAGCCTATCTTCAACTCACTGATTCTTCCATTTGACCAATTCCACTATTGATGGCTTTCTAACTCATTTTCATTTCACTCATTGTACTTTTCAGCTCCCGGACATTTCAAAAAACTATTTCAATCTCTGTCTTAAGTTTTTCTGACCAATTACTGAATTTTCTGTGTTTTCCTGACATTCATTTAGCTTCCTCAAAATAGCTATTTTAAATTCTCTGACAGCTCACACATATCCATTAGCTTATGGTCAATTTCTGACACCTTATTTTGTCCGTTAAATGAGATCATCATTCTCTAAAAGTTTTTGATAATTGTTGGTAATCATTCTTCATGCACTAGAAGATTAAATATTCCTTCTAGATCTTATAATTGTGTGTTGTTTATGCCTCTCTTCCCAGAAATTCTAAGCAGACTGTTTATTTGTTCTGATCCTGAGGTCAGTGCCATTATTTGAGCACTAGATGGCGCCATAAGTCCATGTTTGCCACAAGTCAACAGTTACTGTGTTGTCACTGTTTCAGTAATAGAGGGTGCTCCTACCCTAAATTTGTTGCAAATCTGCAGCTAGTGTGCTGTATGAGATGAACTAGGAGTGCCTATAGAGGGTAATACAAACTCAATGAGTCTGCTGGGCCCATACACCTATCTATAGCCACTGGATTCTGCCCACCCAATATTGTGCTTCACCCTAGAGTGTTCAGCCTTAAGCACCAAATACTGGGTCACATCCAGCACTTTCAGCTTACCAAGACCACTGAAGCACAGAGGCAGGATCAAGGCCCATGCTTCTATGGCCAGCCTGATGCTGCAGTCTCTGTGGCCTGATACCATTGCATCCAGCCAGAAGTGACATCCATCAGAGAGAGCATAAATCCGTCTCACCAGGGCTGCAGGTTTCTCCCTTGTACTGTCCCTGGACACTAACTGGCTTCTGCTAGGTGGGCACTAAGTTCCAAGTCAAAGTCCTATACTTACTTCTCTGCCATAACCCACAAGCAAGTAAAATTTTTCTCTAAGCTGTGCTGTCTGAGGTTTCAAGAGGAATGATGATGAAGGGTGATGATATTAAGCTGGGTAATTCCTGACACTCACAACCTCAGGCACTGGTGTAGCCTAGGCCTGTGCCATACTTAGATGTGATGCAGGATGGAATCTAAGTCCATCTAATTAAGGTTGCAGGTTTCTAACTGGCCTTGGGTGGATCCAGAGGCTTCATCCATGAGCCCTGTCTGGGGGCAGGGGCTGTGAGACATGGTGAAAACGGTTGTCCTAGTACTGGTTTCCAAGTCTAAGAACACACTTAATTTCCTTTTATTCCCCAAGCAGGAGGCATCTCTCTGTAGGCTGCTTCATTGCTTGGAGTTAGGGGAAGAGTAATAAAAGCTCCTTTTTCTTTTCTACCTTCTTCAGTGCAGCTTTTCTTATTATTATGTTAAAATCAGGTACTATGATGTCTCATCCGGTTTCCTTAGCTCTTGTGAAGGTAAATGCATGCATGAATAATTGCTCAAAGTGGGGCATGTTGGTGTGGTACATGGCAGAAATCCTAGGACTCTGAGAGGCTGAGGCAGAAAGATTGCAACTTTGAGTCCACCTTGGGCAACTTAGTGACCTTGTCTCAAAATTTTTTTTTTTGGACTGGGGATCGAACTCAGGACCTTGGGCTTATGAGGCAGGCACAGTGCCACTGAGCTAAATCCCCAACCCCCTTGTCTCAAAATTTAAAACAAAAGTTTCTAAAGGGCTGAGAATGTAGTTCAGTGTGAAGGCACTGGGTTCAGTCCCCAGCAGGAGGGAAAAAAGTTGTTCTAATTGTGTTTCTGTGGGTAAATGATCACTGGAGCATCTTGCTCTGTCCCTTTTAATGTATTTTTGAAACTATTTTAATGCTTTATAAAAGTAAATTCTTGAAGGAAACCAAACTTCAACTCTTTCCAATAGTTGTAAATTTTTCCCCCTGCTTCTGTTCCCAGGACTGAAGGGCTCCCTCCAGAGGCTGCAGCTGGAGTATGTGGATGTGGTCTTTGCAAATCGTCCAGACAGCAACACCCCCATGGAAGGTGAGTGAAGAAACTTAATAAAAAACTAAAAAATTATTGCAGACTTATTCTATTCACAGTAGAAAATGAAATATACTTAAGGTTGATTTGATTGAATATGAAAAATAACCTTTTTGATCGATGCTTTTCAGCCTTAATATTTACCTTGAAAGTATTGTGTATCCTGTATGTTCTCCTTTTCTTCTTCTCTCTCTCCCTCTCCCTTCCTCCTCCTCCTCCTCCTCCTTCTCTTTCTCCTCCTTCTCCTTCTTCTCCCTCATTTTTTTCTTGTCCTTTGCAGCTGAAGGCACTAGGTTTAGAGTCCTGCTGGTTACAGTGCTCATTTTTTCCAAGTTTATTTCACTTTATAATTTCATCAACTATCACCTCTCAGCCTTTTGGCTAAGATGAAGTATATAATTTCATCAACTAAATAAATAAATTAATTAGAGGGAGAGTTTATAGCCCAAACATCAATATTTTGGAGAGAGTCTTCTGAGGGTCTTCTTATTTCATGATGATTCTAAGTCTGAGAGTTTCCAACCTGTAGTAAAAAATGCTAAATGGTGCTGTAGCAGAGGCATGACAGGAGTGATAACTCAAAATAAGACTGCTGGTTGTTGACCCTCAAGGAACTTCGACATCTTAGTCTTTTTCAGTTACAATTGTTGGACCACAGTTTAAGCTTCACCCTGTGGAAGTTTTTAGAATATTCCTTAAACCAGATTTTCTGCAGCATACATTTGTTTATTAAACCTTCTTAGGGGGCTGGGGATGTAGCTCTGTGGTTCCGCCGCCTGCCTCACAAGCACAAGGTCCTGAGTTCGATCCCCGGTACCCCAAAAAAAAAAAACCTTCTTAGGATGTTTGAGAAAGAAAATGACTTGAGAGGACACATTTTTTAAATGTTCCAATTAATTGAGGTTTAAAATCATTGATTATTATTTACCTGAGATGACTAAAAGTAGAGATATTTGAGTATAAGAAGAAATAGGAATATTTTGGTTGAGTTTTATAATATGATATCGATTATCAGTTTTCAAATAATAATATAGTATAATTCACATAAAATTAAACTAAAGGAAATTTTGTATTTAATAATCTAAAAGGTAGTTCAGGCTGTTGTAATAAATTGGGTTCTGAGAGATTTGTTCTTGCTATAGGGTTATAGAAGTTATGGAAAAGTATAAATGATTAATGTATATACAAATTTTTCTAGGTTAAACTAATGAGAATAAAAAATGTTACAGAAACTACTTTGCCATTTTATTTTTTGATACTTATTTCTTTGCCATTTATTTCTTTCTTAACTACAGAGAACTGTTAAATATCTATTACCTATCTATTTATTTATATCTTATTTCTTCCCAGAGTTTTCTGCTTTCTTGATTCTGGAAAATTAGGAGTTTACTATAAAGTAGTATCATTATTGTTAATTACCCATTGAAATGACATAGGGATCCATGCATATTTTGTCAAAGCCAAGATTAGGTGTGTAATAAAGCAAATCATAAACACTTTATTAGTATAAGCATTGCTTATTGCAAAGATAATATGGTGTCACACAATTCTGAAAGACAGGTGAAATCAGCACTAAAGCTATTTAGTCAGCAAAAGTGTCAAAAAAATACCATTTAGTGGGGCCTTTGAAAGACTAGAATTGCCTCACATTTAAAGTGTCTAGTGACTATTTCTCTTTTTGGAAAAATGTCTTTGTATGTTAGGATGTGTATGTTAGGATAGAACATCTGAAGTTTTTCAGGAGTTTCCCTCCACTCCAACCTTACCTTTAGTTTTACAGATATATTGTAGTAATATTTTAGAGTAAATTGCATATCAATAAAAGGAGGAATATATTAGAATCTCTCAAACAAAAAATTTGCTTTAAAAATAGGAGGAGGAAATTCTTAAACTGTAACACTAACAAGATAATATCTTGGCTGGGCATGGTGGCATATATCTGTAATCCTAGCTTCTCCAGAAACTGAGGCAGGAGGATTGCCAACTTTGAGCTAGTCTGGGCAACTTAGCAGAACCCTGTCTGAAGAGGGCTAGGGATGTAGCTTAGTGGCAGCATACTTGAAGCTCTGGTTTCAATCCTCAGAACTGAGAAAAAAAGATAATGTTGTCTCTTATATAAACTCTGATTATGTCTTGAACTTTATTAAAAGAAAGTTTCAAGGTGTTTTTTAAAAATAGATTGCAGCTGTCTGATAGTTTGTAACTGCAGCATTGTCTAGCCTCTACTAGAATCAAAGAAAATGTGTATGTTCCCTAAGTTTCTTACATAAAATTCCACAAAGCAAAATAGGAAGCTGGTATATAAGGAGTCATTGTCCAAATTACAAAAGCATAGTGAAGAGTATCAAACAGTAGAGATTTGGCACTTGTTGCAAAGGTTCTGGAACATGGCTTTCAGTAGCCAGCTCGGCCGCAACTGACTACCTCCTGTTGGAGTGTGTCCTACTTTTCCTCACCTCCAAGGGGAAACCCACTCCAAGCAAGCCCATTGAGCTTTGAGGTTGAGTCTTTTCAGAAAATATAGCAGGCATGTTTCATGGGCAATTCTCATGTAGGACATGTTCCAGAGTGAAGTAGTTTCTCTACCTTTCAGAAAATATGCACTGTACCCTCAAACTTAGTATGCTGATTTGTTCCAAAGTAGATTCAATGGAAATATCAGAGTTTGAAACTAGTGTTTGGGAACATTCTTTTAAATAGCTTTTTCTACTTTACTGTAACAGAGGAAAGTATTGAACTGGGAAAGGGAAGAAATAGAAAATGAAGAGGCAAGGGTAGCCAGGTGGACTTGGGCACATTTGTTTCTCAAAAAATGGAGGTGAAGGGGTGCTGTCCAAGCTATTTCTGGGTTTTATGTTAACAGTCATTTTTGCAATGATTTTGTAAATCGTGTGTATGTGTACATAAATGAAAGTTGTGCATATTCAATGCTGTCTACTTAAGGAGGCCTATTAGTGCTTCTAAAAACAATAATAAGGTAAATGCTACATATAATCAAAACTGCTCTTGAAAACCCCTTAGTAAATGTTAGTCAGTGTTACTCTAAAGTCTTTAATTATTTATTCAGTTTTTTCTCCAGATATAGTAACAAAACCATCACCAAATACTTATCCAGTCACTCTTTTTTTATGACAGGAAAATCATTAATATCATTCACATACTTTCCCTGCTTCAGCAATCCACATTGGCTATTTTAGGCTCCTTTGCTCCCATTTCTGTTTAATAGAAATGATACAAGAGTAATCGCCAAGTTCATATTGTTTAATTTCCATACATTAAATCTATACATGTTAAAACTATCTATCTTCAGCACTGTAGATGATTTTTATTGGTTTCATCCATTCCTTCTCAATTCCATGGACTCACAACACATATTAACTTTTGATTTTTCTATGGCCTTTATTTTAAACCAAAGGGATCTATGCACTTACTGAATGAGAGAGCCCAGCCACATCAGCACTAGATCTTCTCTATCATTTATTACCCTCTAGAGTGGACACTGGCATCTCCAGCCACTAACTGTACAAACGTCAAGGATCATGTGCCTGCCTTTGGGTATCTCAAAGGCACATTTTAAACAGCTTCCACTTAAATATGCTCAAAGTACCATTCCAAATGTTCTGTCATTGGAGAATGGTAAGACACTTCATTTGCAACCCGCAGCACTATGGAATACAATTAGACGGTTTAGGGATATGGGAAGATGTTCCTGACAGTCAAGGGGAGCATGTGTACTTTTTCTTCTGTCCTTATTTTTTTTTTTTTCTGGTTCACCTAGTAGTAAGTCACTTTTCTTTTGCAGCATCTGCCATGCCATCTGTCTCTGCCACAGTATCTGGCAACGATGGCGTGTTTTCCAATCCTACAAAAAAAAAAATCAACCCCAAAACTCATTTCTTCTTTCTTTTAATGCTGTGTCCCTCCACATAGAATCACTGACCATTCCTTGTGCTCTATGAAGCTCAAATTCTTAATTCTGTCACTTTCCTAAATCCCCAATGTGGGTTTCAAAATCTCTCCAACCCACTACACAAGAGAAAGTTCAGGACAACTTAAGTCATGTGGGACATGGACAGACAGAGCATTTAGGTGCCTGGGGATCTGTGGTGGGAGGCTTTGTTTTTGGTTTTCTGTCATTCTCAAATGCCAGACTAATTTCACTGCTCCAGGGAGGAAGTGATTGAGCATGACCATGGTCAGAAAAGAAGGCTGTAAAATGTATACCACTTGTGAATAACAGCAAAAAGAGAAGACCTATTTTAGTTTATATAGCTCTTGAAGTCTGTTGATGTGAGTGTATGAGGATTTTTTGGTTCAATTAAATTTTAATTAATTTTTAGTTTTAAAAACACTTGAAATTGAGTCTTCTTGCTTTTCATTTAGAGATTGTTGCCAAAACTAGTTAATCTCTTACCATTCCTGAGTTGTTAAATATTATTCCCATACTAATTACTGTTCTATTTATTGTTTTCTTCTCACAGATTAATGTAGATATAAAGCAATTTAAATATCTCAATTTCAAATAATCAAAATTAGCTTCATTTAATTCCTATAATACTAGGTCAAATAATTCAATCTAGAAGTATTTACTTCTTTCTAAGCCATTTCTTTTAGTATTATCATAGACAAACAGGAGTCTATGGGTATTCAAAAATCTAGGATATCTAATGACAACTCAGAAAATGCCAGAAAGCAGAAATTATTGCAGCACTCACAAATTATCAATAGTTTATCAATTCCAGAATACTGGATCATGTATTTAACTTTTCAAACTAAAGTTTTCAGAACAAAAATGCAATTACCTAAAGCCTAGTAATATCTTTTAGCCACAACAGATCACCCCTTCTGCCTTTATCTTTTATTATCTTCACTGAAAGCTGTCCTCAATCCATCCACAAAAGCATAATAGCAGGAAGAAATTTTCTGCAAGTGTGTAACTGAGCAGTTCAACAGAAATATAATGAAGCCATATATGCAATTAAACTTTTTCATTAATCATATTAAAAAGAAATAAAGATTAATTATAATATTTCATTTAACCCCATATATCAAAATTTAGAATTTCAACACATAATCAATATGAATTTATTAATGATATATTTGATATTATTTTTTCCTCATACCAAGTCTTTGAAATCCATGGTGTACACTTTGATTTGGACCAACAAATTTCACGTGCTCAATAGCCACATGTGACTCATAGCTACTCAATTTAACCACATAATCTAATGGAGCCCCAGCCACCAGTGGGTACTCAATAAATATTTATTGGATAGATGGATGGTTAATTGAATGAACAATTGAACAAGTGTCTGAGTGACTGCATGAAGTTCTAAAGCTGAATAGATCCAACCTCATTTTTCTCCACTTGAAAACTTGTCTGTGTTTCCTACATCTATAAACATCCTGATACCTGGTCTAGCTCAACATATTTCAAGGTGATGCTAAGACAGACAGGTTATTGGCAAACAGACCCAGGACTCTCTTACATCTCATTTCTTCTCATCTGCAATAGCAGCAACGTCCAGATGCTGGATCTCTCTCCAGAAATATGACTGATACTGAAATAAGCAGCAATGAGTGGAGGGATAACTCTTTGACAGTAAAGCTGCCCTTCAGGATCACTACATCAAATTAAAACTATTTAACACATTTCATTCATGACTCTGGCCAGGATGCTCCTAAGGGCCTCTGGTGTCCATCAGATCAATTTAACTCCCTGGCTTGAAAGACTGGGACAGCTGAGTTTTCAAGAAATTAATATGGAGAAAATGATTTTCATATTCAAGACGAGCCAAACTCTACCAAGCCTGTGGCAAAAAGAAAATGTGTTCCAATTTTACTAAATCAGTTTATTTCCATTTTAACTATGAACTCACCAAAACTTTTACAGATATTTTAGACCTACTCAGATGATGTTTTATCTTTTACAGAAAAACAAACCATGTCATGAAAAAAGAAATCCATTTCATCCATCCTAAAAGCAATGGGGGGAGGGGGTCACTTCAAGTTCTTTAAGTCTCTCCGCTTTTTAGATAATTATGTGTTTTTTTTCATTGTGGACTTCCACATTGGAGCAGTATTTCTGCAGAATGGGCTGGGCATGAAATGGGCACAGCTTGAAATTGTGGCTTTGCTACCAACCTGACTTTATACTTGGGCAAGTTACTATTTTCATCAAGGCTCAGTTTTTTCACCTAAAAATGGAGGTAACATGTAAGCCACCATCTGAATTAGTTAACATTGCAAGCATAATACCACCCTCACAGTTGAGACAAAGAAACGCAAGCCCCATATAATGTACATACATACATATAAAACTCCTCCTTCTCTGGCTCTTCTGAGATGACCATGGGAAAAGCCTGAGGTCCTGAAATTACAATATGAAAACCAAATGAAGGTGGCCAAACTACAGGGTTGACCAGGGTCTGAGTAGGTCATGTAGGAATCAAACCACAGAGCTAGCAACAGGATGTTCTCCTAACCTACTTTTGGGATTTTTTCCTGAAATCCTTGCTGTCACTTAGTTTAGTCACAGATTTTCCAAGCTTAATCTGCTTAGTGTGAAAGGCAATCTTGTATCTGTGACTATTTTCAAAGATGTCTCTAGAAAAAACTCAGGATTAACTCATTCATTCGATTGATATTCATTGAAAATCTGCTTTGTGCCAATCACTGTTCAAGACACTAGGAGAAGCAGAAGTTAATGAATCAGGCAAAAATCTTGCCCTTACAGAAATTACATTCTTGTTGAGGAGACAGATAAGAAGTAATAAAGATATATAGCTAGCAATACTGTAATAGTTGGAGAAAAACATAAATCCTGGGTGAGGGATAGGAAATTACAGGGGATAGATTTTAGATATGGTTATCAAAGACGGTGTCACTGAGAAAGATATACGGGGACAGTTTGATCTCCCCCAAAATAGAACAGGCATGTCTTTAGAGTTAAACCCTAATTCAAAGGGTCTTTCAGTTTCCAGCTAATTTCCACTTGTCTAGGCAAGTTATTTAACCATTCTGGTCCTTCATTTCCTTATCTGTAAAATGCAGGTAATACTATCTACTCTATACAGTCATTGTGAAGATTATTATTTGCTTAGGATGTTACCTAGTACATTGTAACTACTCAAAAAATTAGAACTGTCATTTTCTGGTTATTGTTTCCATAGTCCAGCTGTGAATTTTTCATGTAAGAAATTACCTCGATCCAATGGTAGCCTACAAAGATACTACCAAGTTATCCTAAAGGTCTCAAAAAAAGAAAAATTCATGCAACAAATTAAGATGCATGAGTCACATGATTTATCAGATCAATTAAAATGCATAATGAGAAGAGGCAGTTAAAATAATTAGGATAGAACATATGTAGATGGAAGGACTCAACTACCAAAATCTTAGAACATGCACTGCTCATGAACCTCTTCTTTTGCTTCCACACTGGCCTTCCTCATGGTTGCAAGGAATAGATGAGATTTGAGCAAGGGAGCTCAGCAGACTGAAAGTGCCTTGATGAAAAGTACATTTTCTCTTTGAAAAGACTCAGGGACAAGTCCACCTGACCATTAGCTGTAGCTCACCAGTTAGCTTGATATGCAGTTAACTAAATCACCAATGCATAACTGATTGAGACCTTATTACATTTTCATATTTCATGTATATTTAATCTTTTTCAAAAATACACCTGAATATGTTGTAAATTTCACATCTTTCCATTCCTCCCTAGTTCAGCACACACATTTTCTTCTGTCTGTGGCTAATGTGACTCCATGGTTACCAATCCACTTAGTTTTTGTTTTGGTACCGGAAATTGAACTCGGGACTTTGCGTTTGTGAGGCAGGTGGTGGAACCACTGAGCTAAATCCCCGGCCCAATCCACTTAGTTTTACTAAGAGAGTTCTATAAATTCTGCCTACGCCTCATAAGCTACTTGTTTGTCCAACTGGTATCATTTATCCTCCGCTGTGTCCTTTACTTTTTTGAGCAGAACCAAATACTCCTAAGTGACATGGGAAAGGCACACTACTGAGTTCATTCTGAGTTGTTGACATGCTGCCTCAGGTTTGAAGAGTCTTCAAGGCCTGCTGAAAATTTTTCTATAGTTAACAGAGGCCCACAAAGTTGTGAATGGGGATCATTTTGATATACATCTGTCAGAAACAGAGTCCTGATGAACAAATTATTTTTTCCACCTGGGTCTCAGAGCAAGAATAGGAGCTTTAGAAAAATTACTTCCACTAGAGCATTCTGGCAAGTTAAGGTTTCCAAGGTTGCAGAAAATATGTGAAGAGGTGGCTTAAAAAAGAAAAAAAAACACCTATATTCCAAAAACCAATTTAAAGTTGGGCCAGGGATTTAGCTCAGTGGTTCTGTCGCCTGCCTTGCAAGCGCAAGGACCCGAGTTCGATCCCTGGTACAAAAAAAAAACACCCAATTTAAAGTCATCTGGTGCTTTATTTTGTGCTTTTGTTGGAAATCAGATTCCCCACCGTCATTCCACAAAGTCCTGGTTGGAAGGGAGAATTTGGAAAAGGACATGCTTGTATTATTCTATACCCTTTAGCTACTTCTCCCCCACCCCTTTTTTTCTTCACATCTTCACTTAATAGTAAAGGCGTAAAGATTTAAGCCCTAGCCTTAGAGATACAAAAAGAGAAGCAAGGTGGGCCATTTGTTTGAGGCCTATTATAACACCTATCAAAAAGTCTCCAGGCCTCGCCAAGTTTCTCTTCTTGTTTTTTCCTTAACCTGTTTTTAGTTAAGAATAAAGAGAGAGAGGGGGGAAAAAAAAGAAAGAAAAATGAAGGTCGCTTCTGCTCACCCCAGCTGTCAGGTGAAAAATGGAGCTGCCTGGTACTCTGAGGCTGTGAGCTGTGACTCATGTGCACTTCCTTCTGTGTGAGTTGTCATTTCCCTGAATGATATCTGGAGTTGTGACAACACTGAACTTTGTATTCCAAAGGCATGTTGACTCAGTCTCAGGAGAATTTATGTCTGTAAGTTCCTCCCTGTGCTGCAGCCAACCTGCAGCACCATGCACCGGAAATGACGACCCCCATGGAGCTCACCTGCCTGCACAGGTGGGCTGCAAACTCAGCAGCCTATGTCTTAACAGCGGCCCGCTCACCAATGCTGAGTTAATGGAATAGCAGAGCCACCTGTATCACTGCTAATCTAAAATTCTCAGTCAGTGGGGATAAACAAATACCTTCCAGCCTCTTTCTTACTTTATGTACAAAAGAATTAATAAGAGTAAGAGGTTTTATTAAATTCCTCCTGGATGTTTAACATGTGGAGTGAAAAAATCCCATCCAAGAATTAAGGTGCTAGTCTTAGGCATGTGAACCTGGCTGAGTTACTCAGGCTTTCTGCTTCTCCAATTTTTCATTTATAAAATGGGAAGAATAGAAACACTCTTTCCTAGCTATTTTCAGCACTGTTGTGAAGATAAAAGGAAATCATTTAAATAGAAATGTTTTATAAATCATAATGCCTTGTATAAATATTTGAGGCTGTTGTTGTTGCTATAAATGTTTGCATAATAAGATGTAATAATGGCAGTTTTAGCCAAACACCAAGATGTAACTGAAATGAAATTTTAGAGTAGGGTGAGAAGTCTTCACTTCTATATTTTTAAAGGAAATGGGTGAGAGCTGGCTCCATGACTCTTTCTTCCTCCAAATTTTTATTTTGAGAAATTAAAAATCTACAGAAAATTTGAAAGAATAAAAATCAAATGCTCTTCTTCAACATGTACCAAATTGTGCTGTATTTTGCTTATATTTTATTTTGTTTTTATTTTATTCTTACCCATTGTGACATTTCACAAATATGTACTTTCTCCATTATTTCCTGAGAACTAAGGGTTCCTGTATATGACCATGGCACAATCATCACACTCAAAAAATTGACACACTACTGTTACCTGAATAAGCCATATTCATATTTCCTACTTAGTTACCATTTCTGTTTAATCTGAAGTAATTCCTCCATTTTTTTTCTCTTTAATGACATTGATTTTTTTTTTTTTTAAGGCCAGGCCAGTCATTTTGGAGGCTCTTTCTGAATCTGGATTTATCTGATTGTTTTCTCATAATTAGACTAAACTTAAGCACTGTTGGTAAGAATACTATGAAGGTGGTGTTGGGGCTTCTCAGTGTCCCACTGCCCAAGAAGGTAGCTGTGTCTCACTGTCTTACATGCTAAGGTTGGTCTCTTGGGGTGATGTCTGCCAAGATTTTCCACAGGATGGCATTTCTTTTACTTTGTAATTAATAAATAACTTATACGGTGTGGTTTTTTGCAGCTATTTGAATAGCCTAGTCCCCTAAACTTTAATTTAGCATTCACCTGTGATCCCTGCCTACATCAGCTATGATGCACATTGCAAGTTACATATGTCCTAATTTTATTAACCCTCTCCATTTACTAGCTGGCACTCTTCTGTAGGGAGAGCATTCCCTTTGCCTCCTCTCTCACTTTCAGCTCTGTGACTCTGGGGCCGGCTCACTGGCTTCAAGAATATAAAGACTGAGAGAAAGGAGGAGAGAGGATCTATGGAGAAGAACCAGTCTGAAGGAAACTATGCTGTGACCTCCATTCACATACAGCAGGGCAGACAGCTGACCCTTCACTACAACTCTGGTTGGGGTGGGGGATTTCAGGGCCACTGGGTTTAAAACATAACCACTATGGCTGAGGAGCATAGTAGCCTTGAAGCTGACTCATGCCTGGAAAATCTAGAGGTGGAGTGGTAGCCAACCATCTGCCTTGATGGCACAGCTGGGAGAGCACTGTCCTGGGGGTGACAGGGAGAGCACTTGTGAATGTGACCTGTGTGAATCATCTTGAGGCTTATCTTCCAGGACCTACCAGAGGTAGAGGCTGGATCCCGGAAGACGGGGCCAGGTGGGCAAGGGGGTGCAGGGAACTAGAAAAACCAATCATTCTCTAAACATCTCCCTCCTTTCCTAGATTGGGAAAGGGAGAAGTTGAGTTTGAAACTTTGATTGAAATCTGTAGAGTGTGTTTAGGACTTATAATGACCTAAAGACAATCTGGTAGCCAAGAGTGGGCAGAAAAGCTGTGAGACCAGCCTGAGTTTTTATCAGGGCCGAGGGTTACTTCTTCCCACTAAATGTAAAGGGCCAGTAGGTGATGCAAAATAAAGCTGGATGACTATATTATCTTGAGCTGTGCTTGTTCCAAATATTAGTTATACATGTTTCATTAATGCCTAATATTAAATCTATCTAATTTAAATTACACATGCAAAAAATTAACTCTCCCTATTAGTTTCAGAAAACAAATTTGTTCACTTTATAAGAAATACTATTACATCCGATGTAATTGTAAGTTCAGGAAAATTCTTTGTGCTGAAGATTTAAGTCTCCACAAATTACAAAATAAGGCAGTCCATCACTTGTATAAAATGTATACAGTATATACAGTCATTCCTTATACTCTACCATTACTCTGTCCCACAAAACCTCCCAAAGAATCTGAAGACTTTTGAAAGTGTCACTTCTACTACTTTGGGGAATAGCTGTCAATCTTCAAACACTGAAAAACATTAAATGTCACAAAACCTCAAACCTCTGAAGTTTGGAATTTATCCATCCTTTCTAAATGTATCCCATTTAAGTTTTATTTGTTTGTTTAAAATTCTGAAAGGGAAGCTGTTTTGACTAGTTTCAGTTAACAGTCATATAAAATTAATGATAATTAAGTAAGATACTTTTAGACTTAACTTTTTCTAATCCAAACATAGCCCCAAATTTACCTATACGAGAAAATTAGTGTTATTTTAAGGAGCAATGGTTGGAAGGGATGGTACAGAGAAGCAGTGGGAAGGAAAAGACAACTTAGTATTACCAATGCTCTCCTTTTACTGGGGAGAAAAGGAAAGCATTGTATCTTTGGCTTTGAAACTAGAAACATATTTGGTATTGGAACAAACCCCAATTACCACCTAAAGTTTGTATGTTTATCTAATGAGACAAGAGAAAACCACATCTGACATGAAAATTCACATAAAACTTAACAGAAAGCAAAAGCATATATATATATATAAAGAATATATATATAAAGAATATATATATAGAATATATATATATATAGAGAGAGAGAGAGAGAGAGAGAGAGAGACCCAAAATAGATATATAGAGCCCCAAAGGAAAAATCTAGGAAGAAAAAAAGATGAATTTTTCTTTCTCTTATTCATTTCCCCTACTCCCTTCTTGAGCAAGATCAACTATTTTAAGACCTTTTCTGAAAAAACCTACAGAATGCATTTTGAATGTCATCACTTAGCACTCAGGTTGGCTCAGAGAAGAACATGGCAGAGCACAAACACTCAGATCCCAAACCTGGCTCATTCATTTATTGATATTCAACTAATACTTATTTACTGTCCATTATGCATCAAAGCATGAGTAGGGCATACAAAAGAACAAAATGAATAAGATTCCCACTCTTGTGGGACATTTTTAATCTAGCAGAGGAGACAGGAAACAAACAGCAAAACAATGAAAAGTTAAATTATACAGAATATTAGAAGATAACACGTGTTATGGAAAGAAGAAAAACTAAAACAGGGTTATGAGAATGGGAATTCTCAGGAAGTCAGGGTGACCATGGGAAGGTAAGGTTTAAGCAAAGACTTGAAGGAGTCAAAGTATACAAAAAAGAAAGTGCTTAGGAGAGACCTGAGATCGGGAGCATCCTGTCACATTTGAGGCACATAAAGGACATTGGCATGGTTGTAGCAGAGTAAGGAAGGAGAAGTGCAGAAAGAGGTGAGTTGAGACAGTAGAGACCAGCTCTCTTGGGGCCCTCTGAATTTTGGACAAAGAAGTGATGTGTTTTGTTTGGTTTGGTTTGGTTTTGGTTTTGGTTTTTGACATAGGGTCTCACTATGTAGTTCAGGCCAGCCTCAAACTCACTATGTAGCCCAGGCTGGCCTAGAACTCACTGCAATCCTCCTCCCAAGTACAGAAAGAGATGCATTGAGACAGTAGAGACCAGCTGTCTTGGGGACCTCTGAATTTTGGACAAAGAAGTGATGTGTTTTGTTTGGCTTGGTTTAGTTTGGGTTTTGTTTTTGTTTTTGTTTGGACACAGGGTCTCCCTATGTAGTTCAGGCCAGCCTCGAACTCACTATGTAGCCCAGGCTGGCCTTGAATTCACTGCAATCCTTTTCCCAAGTGCTAGGATTATAAGTGTGGGCCACGACCCGGCAAGTGATATGTTGTGGCTTGCATTTCAAAAGGATCACTCCACCCTGAAATGTGAAAAAATTGTAAGGAGCAAATGTAGGAGCAGGGAGTCATACTACGAAATGAGAGTAGCAATCTAGGTGAGATGACAGTGACTCAGATGAGAGTGCTAGCCATGGAAGTGCAAAAGTAGTTGAGTTTGAACAGGAAGAGTCAAGAGAAGTTCCTGATGGATTGGATATGAGTGTGAGAGAAAGAGAAGAGTTTCAGAATCACTCTGAATCACTAGAAGGATGGAGTTGCCATCAGCTGACATGGCACTCCTTGGGTGGAGCAAGCTTGATAGGGAAGATCAGAGGATGGGGGCTAGTCATCTTGAGTTTGTGATGTTAATTAGATAGCCAAATGGAGATGTCCAGTAGGCAGTTAAGACACCACTGAAGCTGAAACACGAGTCAGGCTTTGGATAGAAAGATATAAATTTGGGGGTTGTTTGCATGTGAATGGTGTTTAAAATCTTGAGAACTGATAAAATTACACAGGGTGTAAAAATAGAAAGAAAGGAAAAATGACTCAGAAACTATCAAGTACTGGACCCTGGGGCTTTCCAGCATTAGGCTGGGAGGAGGAAGAGAAAAGTACGGTACCCAAGGAGCAGGTGAAGAGAACACATCAATGGAGAAATGATCGACTACTGGTGGTTAGGTAAGAGGAAGACAGACTGGTCCATCTGTATTAACAATGGCAAGATCATTAGTCTCCAAGTCTCAGTCTTCTCTTTTGAAAATAAGTGAGGAAACTTTTGGACCCAGGAAAGCAAAGTATATTTCTACCTCTTTCTCTTAAAA